GGTCGACGCGCACTTGTATCGTTCATCTTTTTGAATTGACCACATTGGGGATTAGGCATGTGCCACGGGCTTGTGATTCAAAGCGAAAGTCAGTATCGAGTAGCCATTTATTTCTAGAGAAGAGAGCACCAACTAGATTACGAAATACGAACTAAGATTCCAAGAGGGGACACACTCTTCGGATATTCCTCGTGCTGCGGTGCACTTCAAGACAAAACCAAGGTGAAGCCCTTGCTTCACCTTTCTCAAAGTGGAGTCGGTAAAAAACGGAGTGCCAACTCCCTAGCTCTCTGGAAGAGGTAAAGAACGAAGTGCCACCTCTCTGGAGCGCACAAGATGAAACTAGCGGAGAAGTTCACCAGGGTCGGACAAGGCAGCAGCTCTACCAATCTCAAAGCCCGGGTTAGCAAAGACAGGTCGGCAAAACCCCCCCCACCTGGCAATTGAGAAGCAGCTCCGGCGCACGGTACCAGCGCGTCACGACGTACTCCGTCATGAAGTCCTTCTCCGTGGAGGTGCGCGCGAGGCCGAAGTCGCAGATCTTGAGGTCGCAGTTGGCGTTGAGCAGCAGGTTGCTCGGCTTGAGGTCGCGGTGGAGCACGTTCGCGCTGTGGATGTACTTGAGGCCGCGCAGCAGCTGGTACAGGAAGTACTGCACACCAGAGAACGACGATTTGTACTCACTTTACTTTTAGCAGCTGGTATAACAAGTACTGGGACCCAGGAGAAATGATTAGTAGCGGCGTTCTTTAGGAAGCGTCAAAGAAGATCAATCCAGAGGGCTTGGGGCGCGAAGCAACTGGTGCCGAAAGCACTGCGCACCAAAGAAGGGAATGAACCCCAGCAATCTTTAGAAGGTTATGAGGTTCAGAGATTCAATCAAGCGAGTTTCGGTTGATGCCGCGCCGCAACTGATACACGAAGTACTGCGCACCATGAAGCAATGATCAGTACCAGAGTTCTTTGGGAAGCGTCAGACAAGCGGGTCTATGGGGATCGATGAGCGGATGTTTAAAAAGGGTTTCTCGTGAGGCTGCGCAGCAGCTGGTTCTGAAAGTATGTACACCAGAAGGATAAAAGAAACCGGCGTCCTTCAGGGAGGGAGTTCCGTTGCGACAGATAAGAATCAATTCAAAGCGCTCAAGACCGCGCAGCAACTGTTACAAACAGTACCGCCCTCTACAGAAAGGAGCTGATTGATATCAACGTCCATCAGGACCTTCTAGCAACTGATAAGGTCATTCCCCAGTGCGCTTTGGTTGAGGCTGCACAGCAGCTAATAGGAAAAGATTGCGCATCAGAGAACAATGTTGATTCAGCATCGTTCAAACAGGTTCAGCGCCAGACAAGATCGTTCCGATGAAGTTAATTGAGGCCACGCAGCAGCTGACAATCCCATGTAACACAATTAGCCAATGCCAGCTGGCTCCGACGACGAATCATACGGCTTCTGAAAGCATTAAACGTCAGAAAAGAAGGACAGAACCATCTGACCACCATACAACCAAACCCTCAACTCTGAAGTGTCAAGACCATGAAATTCTGGGAGCGGCTCACCTGGCAGTGGTCCTCGGAGAGTTGCTGGCTGGAGCGGATGATCTGGTGCAAGTCCGTGTCCATCAACTCGTATACGATATACACGTCGTTGTACTTTCCTATGTCGGCCAGGGGGCGCATGATGTCCCGAATTGCAATAACCTGGGGGAATAAGTGTAGCCGACTTGAGAACAGGACTCCTTTGAAAAGGGCTTTGGGGTCCCCTTGACGTCACATAAACGACAAAAAAAGCATGAATTCCTGCTAGATTGCTCAACATAAATTGGTATCAGCAGTCTTTGCATTGAGAAATGGGCCCTGCTTGAAGTGACCCCAGACAAGTCTTGCGAGAACGACGAGAGTATCAGAAGCCAGACTATGCAGACAACCATAACTTTAGAATGCAGTAAGTGCTTCAGAGTCTCAGTTCACTTTGCGCAGCCAGGTATCGTCAAACGACTGTCACAGCGGACCTGTCCTTGCATAATGAGCCATACATGCTTGGGGGGGAAAAATTGGTCATAAACCGATAATTGGAAGCTGAGAGTACTTTTGCTCTCAGGGACAGACATCAAAGGCTGCAGGTGCGTTTGAAAGTCGCTTACATTTTCATGGTCCATGTGTCGCAGTAGCTTGATCTCGCGCAACGTTCGCTTGGCATCTATCCGGTTCTCAAACGCGTTGCTGATCTTCTTGATGGCGACCTCCTCCTGCGTCTCCGAATTGATTGCCGAGCTGCGAGTAAAAGTTCTGGCTTTAGCAAATGCTTGCACCCTGCGTGATACATTGCAGATGGAGAGGTAAGGAGTAGGCGCCTGACTGTGAAGCATAAGTGAATCTTGATTCTTCTTGGAGCGGCATTCTAACTCTCCTCCAAAAGAGCGACAAAATATGAAGCTGAACAGTGCAGAAAGTTCCCTGAAGTTGAGTCGGACGTGTTCTGCATGTGATGTGATGTGCTCTGCATACGACGTAGCAAACAAGACCGTTGATCACATTTTTACCGCCCAAACATTAAATGCAATCAGTCCAAAATTGTGCAATCAATCTAGGCGCTCGACTATCACACTCATTTGCAGCGGAAACCAGGGCTCTGCCTAAGCAGACTTGCTCATTGTTCATGAGCCAAAGCATCATGTCAGTCGCACGTCACATTCATGATTATGCAAACAGCTACCGGAGGTCCACTAAAGCGATAATCTGCTGAGTTCCAAAGAGTTGTTGAAAGAATGCAACAGAACTCAATGATGCAACGACACACAATTGCTAACAGGCTCGTGAGCTTTCTCTGATTCAAAGACGCTAGACACAACAGACAGCAAACATTCATAGGAAATCAGCCAGGGGCGGGGGAGTGCTCAATGAAACTATAAGGGAAGTATGACAAGGCTTCCTGAAGGAGACTGCTGAAGCCTAAAGGAGCGCTAGACTCATTGATTGTTTGCATTGTTGTGAAACCCTAATGGTGCCAAGAAGTGGCAGTGACATTGGGAGATTGAGGGGGGAGCTCCTACTAGATGCAGAACTCTTGTCATCAATTTATGCCTGGCAAACGGAACTTGCGGACACTTTTTGCAGCCCCTTTCAGTACACATATGGGGATTCAATAATCTCCATGAACCTTTGGGAAAGTTGTAAAAGAAATGACCAGCGTCAGTGGTTATATTTTCATAATGTGCTCCTTACAAACAACGAGCAAGAGCAATCACAACTCACCACACAATGCCGTACGCCCCCTTGCCTATTGGCCTTATAGGCGGGACATACTTTGCCAGCACCTCAAACAGGTTCCCGCACACCATGTACTGGCTGTATTTTCCATCGTAGTAGCTCTGCACAACCCTCGAAGTCTCCATCTCCTCGCCCTCCTCAAAGTCTCTATCCAAATCATCCGGGTCCATGTCCCCTTGCTGCATGACGGTGCCCTCTGAATAACTTTGGCGCAAACCCTGCAACTTTAAAACTGCTCTCAGTCACCTTTTAAGAGCTTGTGTCCAGATAAAGGAATCCAATTCGTCTCATAAGGAAGGAAGATATTGAATTGGCAAGCACAAACTTCCTTCCTCTCACAAACTGCTCCCGGTCTCCGTCGATTGGTCCACAAAGCCCTCTTCAAATCTGCCAAACTCTTTGACACGAGGTAAGATAGTTCCTGAGAAAGGCGTCCAAGGTCACAGATGCGCTGCAAAGCGCACAGGTCGGAGCAAGGGAGGAAAGTCGGAAGCTAGCTCTGGGCTGCAAGAATCGAATTGCAGCACCCTGGGCCTGGCCCTGGGCCTTTGACTCTGACTCTGAGATTCAATCGAGACTAGACATTGCGGCTCATGGTGTCGCTGAATATACTCACTTGGTCGTGAAGACAAGGAAAGTTTCTCATACCCGAGCACCCTTGGGCTTCGCTTTGAGGGCTTCTGTCGCATCTGAGATGGTCGGTAGATATCCGCCGGCTGGGTACACCCCATAAGCGGCGACCGCATGTGCCTTTAAGAGTTGTATGACGTCATCAATTTTTCAAATTGTCAAGGCTCCAGCTTCCATGGCGCTGCCACGTGGCTTCCCCCTCCGGAGTGCGGCGTGACCGAGTAAATGATGCATTATGCTGTGCGACTTGATCACTTCCTTGCATGCGTTGTTTTCATGTCCAAGAATCGAAGCAACAATGGCGTCTCCTTGCTGCTGGGGCCCTTCTGGCGGACTTGGCGAACTGTCATGGAGGGACACGGCGGGGCAGGCAGCCGTCCGACTTATGATGGAACTCAGCATGTTGAAGGGACGACTCCAAGAACAGGAGGGGAGGACCAGGAATGCGGAAGAAAGAGTAAGTTGAAATCTGCTTATAACACCAAGACATATGCATCAAAGTGTAAGGTCTCGCAGCATTGCTTTGTGTTTTACCGGCCTGGCATCTTCTACATGCCATCGCTGAAGCAATAGTCGTTGAAAGTTCACAGCATTGCGTTTTTAGGGTTTGCAGGAAAAGGGACCTTGTGCTCTTATTTCGACGTCAGGAGATGAATTAATCAATCTGCAGCTTATGCTGGATGACTAGGTTCACAGAGCGGGTATGGAGCGAGGAAAACTTCTAGTACGGTACCTTGGTTAGTCCAACCTTGCTGTGCTCACTGATTACGACAAGCAATGCACCAATTGCTGGATACTTTGTGAAGCGGGCTGCTCACACAATTTCACAGCCAACAATTCTTCAAGCAGTGCATTTAACCCTATGATATGTGCAATTGCTTTTTGGCATCTAGGATCTCAGATGGCAGTTCCACTGTGCCTGAGCTTCCTGTGCTGATCCAGTCTTCTTCTCAGTCTACATTCTATCATTTCCTTTTTCCTCCACTCCCAACAGCAAGGGCTCATCCTTTTCCTGGGTTTAGGTCCAAGCTAGACTTCTCAAGCGGCTCTGCTCAACCAGGCGCAATTACATCGATACATCCCGAAAGCCAGTTCCGCAATCTCAAAGGGCTGAAACTGCAGCGTGCTCTTTCCAGGCAGCTGTTGCAGAGAAAGAGCGCGAAGCACACCGGAAGACGCTTCAGCAGCTCCAAGCTGCAGAGAAGGAGAACGAGACCCTGCTGAACGTTATTCAGAAGCATAGCGAGATAATCCAAAGGGTAAAGCACAAGGAACAAGAGCTGGACACCGAAGCAGGCGGGATCAAGGTCGCTCTTAAGAGTGCACAGAGTGAGAATGTGGAGCTGCGAAGAGAGATGGCGAGAGTGACGAGGGAGAAGAACGAAGCGGAGCACCTGGCAGGGTGAGAACAGGGACAGACTTTCGTTGCTGCGGAATGGGCGCATGATTTGCCGTACTTGTGAAGAAGTTTTGTGGCAGCTTGAGTGTCTGGAGCAATCGACGGGGTATTCCTCTTACATGATGACGCGGAAATGTCAGATTGAAGCTTTGGTGGGAAGGAAGAACCTTTCAGAAGCCGTGGGGGGGACTTTGCTCAATAGTGACCCTCTTTCCAACGAACAGGTCGCCAACGTCTTGGAACGCTGAGTTCAGCAAATGGCACAGTCACAAACGTGGGATTATTAGCCAAAGGTTGAAGAAAGTATTTGAGAGACGAACGACTTATGCCAGAGCTTTCTCCTATTTCAACCCACTTTCTCTGGTCCGTCAGGCAGATTGCCTTCGCGCTGTCAACGCTGAGCTCAGCGAGGGGTACAGCCACAACAAAGACGTAGCGGCAGTGGAAAGAGGCTTACTTTTGATCTCAAGCTTCGAAATCGAAAGCTCATCGTTATCTGAAAACGAAAATTCAGCTACTTTGCATTCTCCACACAGGCAGATCGCCGATGCCCTCGACGCTGAGCTCAGCAAGGGGCACAGCTACGACGAGGACGTGGCGGCGGTGGAGGCGCGGTTGCGCGAAGCGCAGGCCGCACAGGAACAGCTGGCGCAGGAGAAGCAGGACTTGCAGCGAGCGTGTAGCCGCATGACGCGGGACCTCAAGTGAGGCTTCATTTCTATTCC